ACATTTTAAGACCTAACCAGGAACGACTGCAAAAAATGCAGCACAAAGTCCTCTGGTAGGAATTGAACCTACGGCCCTGCGATTCCGGTGCAGCGCTCTAACCAACTGAGCTACAGAGGCCAGCTGTTGAGCTGTAACTGCAAGTTCATGTATATACAGGGTGTATCAAAAAAAACTGAACAGATTTGAAATTGCTCTCAATTTCGCAAAACACCTACTTGTATGCGGTTTTATATATATATATAGCTTCTTTGGGTACTTATAAAGTAGAATAATGACAAAAATTTCTTGAACTCAAATTTTGTGAACCAGGGGGGTGTGTCTTTTCCAACAAAATAAAAATGGCTCGCGCACAAAATTTAAAAGTTGTAATCATATTTTGAGTTAATAGATGGAAAATTTGTCGGGTTTTTAATTACTGTACAAAATTTCAGATAATTTGGTTTAGTTTAAGCCCTTTAACTATTCACGCAAAGTTACATTTTTCCTAAAAATCAGCTATTTGCATGCTTAATTAATGCCTTTGCCTAATTTGCATATGTTAACAATATGCAAATTAGGTAAAGGCATTAATTAAGTATGCGAAAGGCTGATTTTTTAGAATAAAATGAATAGTTAAAGGGCTTAAACTAAACCAAAATGTCTGAAATTTTGTACAGTAATTAAAAACCCGACAAATTTTCCATCTATTAACTCAAAATATGATTACAACTTTTAAATTTTGTGCGCGAGCCATTTTTAGTTTGTTGGAAAAGACACACACCCCTGGTTCACAAAATTTGAGTTTGAGAAATTTTTTTCATTATTCTACATTATAAGTACCCAAAGAAGCTATATATATATATATATAAAACCGGATACAAATAGGTGTTTTGCGAAATTGAGAGCAATTTCGAATCTGTTCAGTTTTTTTTTATACACCCTGTATAGCCAATACTGGACACGTACACATACATATAATATATATACACATATTTCCCGTAAGAACTCTCGAACGGTCAGGAATCCAGTTCACAGCCACTGAACTGTTATGGAACCCTAATAATATAGATGAAAAAATTACAGTGCAATTAACAAAACAAAAGCAGAGCCTGGAAACGAGGCAGGAAAAATAAAAAATGGCGGCAGATAGTAGCAAATTATAAATTTTCTTCATAAACTTCAGCTTTGATTTTCTCGGCTCAGACAATGTTTGTTTTTGAAATTACTTCGCCAATGAACTCATAAGATGGGTCGTTTTTAAGTACGTTAAAACATTCGCATCGGATCTTTATCGGTTATACTGTTTTAACTGGTACCAAATGAATATACTTTAATGGTTCTATACAATGAACTACAACAATATGAATAGAGTATTTTTAAAAGCTGTACATCCCCTCTTTCTGCAACAAACCTGGCAAATTCATTATTTATGATGCACAAATATATATATTTTAATAAATATAATTTTTAGTGCTTGAGGAACTATTGTTTATCTAATAATATAATTCTCAAAAATTGTGAAATTAGAACTATTGGGCCATTCATACGAAAGAAAACAAGTCACAACTTACTTAAGATGTGCACTCAAGTTGCGAAGTATTGTGTACAAGTCTGAACCCCTGTCCTTATTTAAGTCAACTAACTAAAATTTGAATTAAATGTGACCATTTGCATGAGTGTGTTTGAATATATATTAATTTTGATATTTTTTAAACAAAATAAATTCATACATACACAGTATAAGACAATTTAAATAAACGAAGTTTATTAGTATAATCAATCCCCAGGGCTTTGGTCCTATTAAAGCAGCACTTCCCTTGCGATAATAACTTCTAGTTAAGTAACAAGTAATAGTATGGTTTCACGTGCAATTTAGAAAAACATGCACTCGTAAGTTTTTTAAAGTGCCTATATGACACGAAATTTCACCCCAAATGTTTATGATTGCATTGTAAAATCACGTAAAATGACTTAATAATTTCTTTTATAGAATTTTGGTAACTTGCTTCCTTTGCAAGATATTCAACTTTGTTTCATATGCAAATATCACCAGTGTGACATCACATCGCATAATGACATTTTGAAAACGCAATATTTCACCTTGATAAAATATTTTTACAAACAAATACAGAGGGGTAATTACCAGTTATGAAATTAATACATATACAAGGGCAATTTTTAAGTTTTCTGGATACGTATTCGTCAAGAAAACTATATACTTTTCTGAAAACTCATTATGTGATGTGATGTCACACCGGTGATATTTGCATATGAAACAAAGTTGAATATCTTGAAAAGGGAGCAAGTTACCAAAATTCTATAAAAGAAATTATTAAGTCATTTTCAGTGATCTTTACAATACAACCATAAACCTTTGGGGTGAAATTTCGTGTCATAGGCACTTTAAAGACTTCATATTGCACACTGTGCAATAAATAATGACAGGTCCCTTTTAAAGATTTTAAAACATCTTCCATGTACTGCTAGCATATTTATTAAGAAGAATATTACCAAAGAAATTATACCTTCTATCTCTTTCTTCGTGGTGAACTGTTTTGACGCTGTGACCTAAAATAAAGGGCAATTTCTGTAAGTGTGGTATCACTACCATGCATCAGCTGGCCTCTGTAGCTCAGTTGGTTAGAGCGCTGTACCGGAATCGCAGGGCCGCATTTTCGATTCCTGCCAGAAGTCAAAATATTGCAACCGCGATATTTTTATGTCAAAATCGCAACCGCGATACTTTTATGTCAAGACAGCATCTTCTTAATTTAAGACATATAAATTCATTGTATAGAAGTCACCGGCTAGCGCTGTAAAAATGCCGGTGACTACATAGTATATATAGTCCTTTTTGTGTCTTCACGCCCCCCCCCCCCTCCCAACCCCCCATGAAATCAGCCTATACTGAAGGGATCAGCGTGTGAGCGTGGGTAAACATAGTTGTAACAAAATAAATAATTCTCTGTAAAAAGACTACAATTTAGAAAAACATTTCAACATTTCTAGAAATATTTCTTACTTTTTCTTTCTGTTGGTTTCCTCTTCAGAGGATGACGAACTCTCTAAAAAAATAAAACATTTCAGTATAAGCGACAATGACATTGTGTCAAACTTTCATAAACTGTAATATGAAGTACCTTCACTTGAATCAGTACCACTAGACTCGCTGGAACTACTGTTGTCTGAGCTTGAAGAGTCGGCCTGTGCTTGAGTGAACGTCTTCTTGGGGGCGTTCTTCAAGTGCTCACGTAGATCGTCTCTGAAATTAAATAACTCCAATCAATATATAAACAAGTCTTTCTGCAATTACTCCAAGATAGTACATATAAGAGCAAAACCTCTCTAATACAGACATATCTCTCTAATACAGACACATCTCTCTAATACAGGCACATCTCTCCAATACAGGCACATCTCTCCAATACAGACACCTCTCTCTAATACAGACACATCTCTCTAATACAGGCACATCTCTCCAATACAGGCACATCTCTCCAATACAGACACCTCTCTAATACAGGCACATCTCTCTAATACAGACACATCTCTCTAATACAGGCACATCTCTCCAATACAGGCACATCTCTCCAATACAGACAACCTCGTCCCCAGGGCCTATTCAGGAAGGAGGCGAAGCAGCAAAGGCCCTGGTAAAGGCTGGTCACGTGATGCTTCAAATTTTGAATATTTCAGAATATTTAACTTTTCAAACCGGGGGTGCGGGCCACTTTGATTTTATCAAACATGGCCGTGCAAAGGGGCGATAGAAGCTTTTGCGACTGAAACCAGAGACTGAAACTATGATGATAAACTTTTCAACTGACAGTGGAAATAAATATATAGTCTGCGATGTTCTTCAAAAAAATATGGAATATAATCAACAGCAATACTTGTCGAAGATCAAGATTCAAAGAGAAGAGTCTAAACACTGACTGACAACAGTAAATATTTCTTTTCAGCTTGGAAGCGTGTTTTTACTGTTTTATAATATTTGTCGTTTGGGAGTCAATAACATACTGTCAGTGAAGAATTTGATTTGGGACTTTGATGTACCTTTATGAAAAGATTTACTACTGAACACAAATGTGCATGTAAAATGTGATTAGAACGTTTTAATATGAACAGTTGCACTGTCATTGACTCAATATATTTTACTGTGGGACAAACATTAAAAAAACATTAAAGTACTGTGCCAAGTGACAAAATTCCATGCCGACCATGGGTTACGTATGTATGCATTTTTATTAAACGTTTATACCAATATACATTATTTTAAACCTTTGTGTGTGAATTTTGTGTGTTGATTTTATGATATTTGACAACCATGAATATTAATAATATAATATGTTAACAGCAAGTTTACAGTATATCGTATAATACAAAGGCAATATCACAAGACTCAAGTACTGTACATGGTCTAATAGATGTTTCTTAGTCAGCAACTATGCTCTTTGACATTGTGGCAATCAGGTATTCTTGGGGCTTTTACTTGTAGCTTGGTTTTTCACTTTTTTGATACAACTATAGAATACCCACAACTTTCACACCTTACCACTATTAGTTCCTTGTAAACATTGTCAATTTACTCAAAATTGATCTAATATGATTGCCTCATTCTTCAAAACCCCCCAGTCAAATTTGAACCAAACTAACATACTCATATGATTTAATCTCTAGACTTTACCCTTAAACTATTTTGAAGTGATTCTTGTACTTAATTATGCGTCAATGAATGCAGAAAAATGGCCAGGTATTCTATAAGCATTCCGGCATGTGTGTTTTTGAACCTTCACTGTTGAGAGAGCATGCCATGGGTCTCCCCAAATTATCTGAGTACTTCAACCAGACCAACAGCTGCCAAATGGCAACTACTATGCTCAGAGGTGTAACTTACACTTGCCCGGGGCAAGTGAATATCATGACGGGCAAGTAAAAGATTCCTCTTGGTTGCCCGAACGGGCAAGTTGCTTTGCCACAAAAAGCTGGCCAGCTTTCAGTTCATATTATTATTGTCGGATAGAATAAAGGCTGCTCGACGACATTGGTTCAAGCTGGCAAATCATCTGCATCAAATTCATCTAAATTGTTTGATTATATTATGCATTGATTCTCTTTTTGGTTATTAAATGTTTATTCATGATATGATAACGAAATATGGCAGGACTTAATTTATGGCAGGACTTAATTTGGGACTTTATTAGTCCTGTTGTCTGTGCCTTCAATTTCTTATTGTAAAACTAATAAAAAAATAAATAAAAAATAATGGTGATTAGTGTTACATTAAATTAAATAAGTGTACTTGATTCAAATTTTGTTTAATATGTGAGCCAAAGCTAGATCTGAGGTAGTCTAGATCTGAGGCAGTAACATAGCCAATGCCACTAGTCCAATGAGTGGATATGTTGTCTCCCTAATTTATACTGGCCCGCGTAGGTACCCCATTGCCTGATGGCAACTGGATTTTATTCAGGGCAACCAATTTTCATGTCCAACTTGCCCTGAGGGCAAGTGGTCAAAAAAGTTAAGTTGCACCACTGATGCTGTATACAAATTATATACCTGAAAGGTAACTTACATCATATTGTATCATTTAAATACTAATACTTGTATTCTCACAGTGTATTAAGATATACAAATGCACTTGTGATGCCCAAAGAATTGCCACAAAAAACCCCATAAACCACAAATCAGTCAATTTCAGTAAGTAGGGCACATTGGGGCACATTGCAGCTCAATGGGTTAACTAGAGACATTGTCAGATTTTGGTTAATAACCATAATTGCAAGAGGTCAGTACAGTCTGTAACAATAAGTAATTCAGGAATTCACACAGTTCTCAGTAGTTAAATGATTATCGGATTTCATGTTAAATGATTATCGGATAATGTTGAGCATCAAGAATATATGTATAATATCCTTCATACATTTATAATAATATTCAGGCTAAATATCATAGTTATTATTTTATGTACTCTATAGTTGTATCAGGTATAAAGATACGAGGTGAAGCCAAGTATCTTTAGGTCTGATAAAGCATACACTGCGAATGTTTTAAATTGCTCAACTGATGGTCACCAACAACAAATAGTACTTTATTACAAGGCGGCAAAATGTATTTAAATTAAAAGAGATGAATAATCTTGTCACTTGATACATTTGACACCAGGTGTCTTGTATTTGTCCAATGTCCATAAGAGACCCCTTGTTATTGTATCATGTTTTGAGAATGAGTTCAATTTTGATATTTGTTGTTGATCTGAGCAAAATATTGATTTGAGGCACACTACTGAGGCACACAGTATTGAACAGTCAATTGTGGTGAGTGATGCTGAACTGCCTGTTGTATGTTGTGAGTGATTTTGAGCGCCTGTTGTGATGAGTGACACTGAATTGTCCCAATAGTGGCTCAGGAAAAAATGTACCTGCTGACTTGTCAAATAATCTCCTTAAATAATGTTGTGGGAAGTAATTTGTGTAATTGATTACAAACAAAAACAAGGGCTTGTTAACAGTATAATGAGGAAATTAATTCCCTCATTATATTATTCAGCCTTGATAAAGCATATGGAGGCTTTCTGTCTGATTTGACCCTCATGCATGTAATTGTTTGGGAATG